CAGTGATTCTCGATCTTTGAGTGCATCAGAGCCTTCTGAGGGCTTTGTTAAAGCTCAAGACTGCTGGGCCCAACCCTCAGAGTTTCTGATTGAGTGGGTCTGTGATGGGGTCCGAGAGTGTGCTTTTCTGAAAGTGGTGCTGATGCTAGTGCTGCAAGGACCACATTCTGAGCACCACTGGATTAGACACCTGCCGTTTGATGGATGTTTATTTCAACCTTGGGAAATTTCCACGTACTAGTAGCATGCACATAGAGGCTGAGAGTCATAAAGCTGTTTTTAACATTGACCAAGGGTTTTGATGTGAACTTGAAAATGAAATTTGTGATTTATAAGATACAGTGTTTAATAGTTCCACATGTCCCTAGAGCTTTTTAAAATGTCACTTTTTCTTTTTTTCTTTAAGAGAGGGGGAGAGAGAGTGGTGGGTGAGGGGCAGAGAGAGAGGGAGAGAGAGAATCCTAAGCAGTCTCCAAGCCCAGCTCTCTCACAACCCTGAGATCATGACCTGAGCTGCAGTCAAGAGTTGGACACTTAACCAATTGAGCCACCCAGGTGCCCCTAAAATGTCATTTAAGAGTGCTTAAACATTTTAGGATTGGAAAATATTTAGGCATCTATTCTTAAAGAGCTCAAATGATTTTTATTATTTAAATACTGGCATGAAATGAAACTTTTCCAACACGTATCTTAATTTATTCTTAAACGCTCAGTATAATTTGAAAGAAGAAATTAAATATGGGTAAGTGGGAAAACGATGGCATCATTAGCTAATTGCAGTCTACTGTAGCAAAACAAATCCCTGCTCTGACCTGACACAGCATTTCATTTGAGGTTCACTGTGGAGTTTGTTCAAGCCATCTTCTTGTTACCTTGAGAATTATTACGGACATCATTTTGTTGCTGGATAAAGCTGAGACCTGATAAAAGGTTCTGACTAAGGTTGTGATGCAGAAATTCATGAACCTGTATCCTAATCTTAGAATGCCTGTGTTCTTGGGGTTCTATTTAACTCTTAAGTAATGTATTTTGCTGTGGTTTTTTTTTTTTTTTTTTTTTCCTGAGAACCTTGCTTTTGAAGGGCGGGTCGTAAGGGGTATCCAGTTTTTCCCACTGCAGGGACATGGAAAAACATCTAAAATGCCTTCCTAAATGTCTGTGGGATTGTATATGGATGTCCCACCAATGCTTGTGACTGAGTGGTTAAGAATATGTCATTCATGGGGCGCCTGGGTGGCTCAGTCGTTAAGCGGCTGCCTTCGGCTCAGGTCATGATCCCAGGGCCCTGGGATCGAGCCCCTCATCAGGCTCCTTGCTCCACGGGAAGCCTGCTTCTCCCTCTCCCACTCCCCTTGCCTGTGTTCCCTCTCTCGCTGTGTCTCTGTCAAATAAATAAATAAATCTTTAAAAAAAAAAAGGATCTGTCATTCATGACAGATTCTGTAAAGAACCTTATCAAACTCAACACCAAAAAAGCAAAAAATCCAGTCAAGAAATGGGTAGAAGACATGAACAGACATTTCTCCAAAGAAGACATCCAAGTGGCCAACAGATGCATGAAAAAGTACTCAACATCACTTGGCATCAGGGAAGTACAAATCAAAACCTCAATGAGATACCACCTCACACCAGTCAGAATGCTAAAATTAACAAGTCAGGAAACAACAGGTGTTGGCAAGGATGCGGAGAAAGGGGAACCCTCCTACACTGTTGGTGGGCATGCAAGCTGGTGCAGTCACTCTGGAAAACAGTATGGAGGTTCCTCAAAAAGTTGAAAATAGAGCTACTCTACGATCCAACAATTGCACTCCTGGGTATTTACCTAAAGGATACAAACATAGTGATTCGGAGGGACACCAACATCCCAATGTTTATGGCAACAGTGTCCACAAGAGGCAAACTATGGAAAGAGCCCAGATGTCCCATCAGCAGATGAATGGATAAAGAAGATGTGGTACATATATACAGTAGAATATTACTCAGCAATCAGAAAGAATGAAATCTTGCCATTTGTAACAACATGGATGGAACTACAGGGTATTATGCTAAGCAAAATAAGTCAGCAGAGAAAGACCTACCATATGATTTCACTCATGGAATTTAATAAACAAAACAGATGAACGTGGGGAAGGGAAGGAAAAATAAAATAAGATAAAAACAGGGAGGCAAACTATAAGAGACTCTTAACTCTAGGAAACATGCTGAGGGTTGCTGGAGGGGAGGTAGGTAGGAGGGTGGGGTACCTGGGTGATGGGCATTAAGGACGGCACATGATGTAATGTGCACTGGGTGTTATATGCAACTGATGAATCGCTAAGTTCTACCCCTGAAACTAATAATACACTGTATGCTAACTAAATTGAATTTAAATAAAAAATTTTAAAAAGCATGTCATTCATTCCTTCTCTGATTTATATATCCATATGATTTGTCATTTTTGCAAAATTTATATTGCTTATGTAATCTGGAAAACAATGAAGACATGACATTAAACACAAAAGAATCAGCTACTGAAAACCACCTGTTATGCCATGAAATTGGTGTTTAAAGTAAGAAAAAGTAGGGGAGTTCAGGAGGAGGGAATGGGCATGTGCCTTCTCTGAATGCGGTATAGAATAACAAAATTAGAATTTCTCATCTCATTAGTTGGGAAGAGAAGAGAAGAAAAAGAAATATAATAAAATAGTGGCTTGACGGAACACTGGCAGGAGGTTAAGGTGGGTGGATTTGGTGTTCTTTCAGAGAAAAGAGACTTTAGCACTGACTTGAAAATGAGGTTGTAAAAATACCTTCCAGAGCTTGCACCTTTTTTATATTTTTTCTTTCTCCTTCCACATACAGCCACATACTGAGCACCTGCTCTGGGCCATGCGTTGACTGGGGAATTTCTGTCCATTGGCTTCTCTCCGCTTACCTGTGGTTTTAAAATGAAATAACATCTTACTATTCCTTGGAGCTTCTATGTCTTCCTCACATTTATTTTGATGTCTGGCTCCTTGGAAAACCATTACACATTGATCCATCCTGCAAATACTGACCACTGCGTGTCCCGTGCTGAGCTAGGTATGGGGATGCACAGGTGAGCCTGGAGGCGTGCTGCCTGCTTGCTGGACCAACTTTCTGGTGAAGAGAAAGCTCTTGGCTGTGCTCACCTGGTCTGTTTCCTCATTGCTTACTTGCTCCTCCATCTCTTGCATGCTTCCGCTCCTTCCATTGTGCAAAAACCACAGGGCCCTCAAGACCTGGTCCTCAGCTGGTCTTTCCCAGAACTGATTTGCCTGATCTCTTGGCATCAGTTGACAGGGCATCCTGGCCCCTCCAGGATCCACATCAACTTTGGCCCGTGTGACAGTGTGTTCTCTCCTCCCTTCTCCCACTTCCACCACCGGCTCCCTTTGCCTCTCCCAGAACATACTTTTGTAGCAGTGACTCGCTCCTCCTCTCCCGAGAGGCAGCCAGCACCTCCTTGGCTCCTGGCTCTCAGAGCCTCTGCTCTGCCCACCCTCACTGGTAGCCTGTGCGGGCCTCCGGGGTCGCCTCCATTCAGCAGAGCACCCCGCCTCCCTCTCCCCTACAACACCAGCTTCCCCTTTTCCCATCGTCTGTTCAGCCAGGCCCTCCAGGTCTGCTGAGTTGTCTCCCGGCCCATGGCACAGGCCCCTCGCTTCTGTTTGCACACTTCAGGTCTCTCTTCCCTTTGCTTGTTGTAAGATTGCCATCAGGTCAAGCACTCTGGAACACAGATCTGACCATCTGCTCCTGGCTCAGAAATCCTCCCAGGTCCTGCCACACCCTGCAGGGTCCGGAGGGCTGGGTGGAGGCTTCCCCATCCCTTGCTGCAGCTCCGTCTCTCTTTCCCTTTCCCACCACCCAGTTCTTCGACCCCACCGCCCTGTCCAGCACTCCCAAACCCTCCCACTTTCCCGCTCCCGTTCCTTTGTCTCAGGACGCTTGTTCTCATTTTCCACCTCCACCTTGTTCTGCTGCTCCGTTAAAGTGCAGCTGGGATGCAGTTTTTTTCTCCCAAGAGCTCTGTAATCCTTTCTAGGCTGCAAGTCATCTTTCCAGCCTTTAGCTTTCCCATAAAAGCTTATGGGTCTTCCTGTGTGATAATCCTTGCTCTTATTTGTAATTCCATCACGTTTCGCCCAAGACTGTAGACTCCCTAGGGAGGGGCATCCTGACACCTTGCAGCCCTTTCAGGCACGTGGACCCACTCGTTGAACATTGTTTAATGGATGTCCATTGGTGAGATGACTTAGAAGTCTGCTTGTTTATTGGCATCGACACAGTTTAAAATCTAGAGCCAGGGTTGAGAAACTACAGCCTTTGGGCTGCTTCCGCCCACTGCCTGCGCTTGTGAATAAAGTTTTATTGCAACACAACCACTCAGCAACCTGGACATTCTTCAGTTGAATGGCTCACAAAGCCTGAAATAGTTACTGACCTTTTACAGAAGTTTGTCTACCCCTGATATATACCATTGTCCAGACTCCTGAAGGATTCGGTATCAGCCGTGGAAGGAAGTAAAGGAAACAATGTTTGCTTCAACTCTTAGCCTTTCACTTTGGCTCTTTGACATAACTACGTGACTACCATAGTTTGGGCACTGGGATTTTTCTATTTATTTAAAGTGAAGTACAGTTAATTTTGTAAAAATGATGCAGACAGCCAAGTTAACTAGATTTGATCTCTAATTTCTTAACGTTAGGCTAGGATTATCTGGGTAGAAGTTAGATCTGGTCAAGCTTTATGTTACTAAAATGTTTTGGGTATTCTCAGTAAAAAGAACTAACCAGCAGGGGTCGACCAGCTGTGTCACGAGTTCGGCCAGCCTTACAGACTTGTCCTTTGTTTCGGCCCTAGGAGGAAGCAGCATGTTACAGAGCCTTGCTCTGCCCCTTTGCGGATGAGAAAGGCCATAGGTTGCCAGCGTTTCGAGCAAAAGCTTTGTGGACCCCCACATTAATACCATGTGGTCTTTTTTTCTTTCTTTCTAGAGGGACGCATGGTCATCCAGGATATTCCTGCTGTCACCAGCAGAGGGCACGTGGAGAACACACCTGACCTGGTGTCTGACCCCACCTACTACAGCAGCTTCTACCAGCCGTCTCTGTTCCCATACTACAACAATTTGTACAACTACCCGCAGTACTCCATGGCCTTGGCTGCCGATTCCTCTTCTGGGGACGCGGGAAGCCCCCTCGGGGGGTCCCCCGTGAAGAACAGCCTTCGGAGCCTCCCCGCACCTTACGTGCCTGGGCAGACCGGAAACCAGTGGCAGGTAAGGTGTTACCCAGAGCGGCTGGATCTGTCAAGAGCACACAGTACGCGCACAGGACCAGCCCAGCACATGTGTGTGCACTTTATGCCAATGGCGCAAAAAGGTGTTCACGCTCCCATGATGTCACGTGACCCCCGAGGTTGGCCGCAGGGATTGTAAACGAGCATGCGTGTATTCGCTTGCGTTTTGAGATTTTACTTTTCTCTTTTTTCAATATCATTTTGCATGAAGACCCAGTTGGCTGGAGTCAGAATCACAAGGGGCTCACGGTGTGAGGTCTCACCTCCTCCAGACTCATCCCCACTTCCTTTGAGCAGCTTAGAACCTGCTGGGTGCAGCCTTCTGGTTGGCAGTAATGCTAGTGATGAATTTGCACCCAGGGAGGGAGGAGTGTTATCGTTCGTATGTTTGCGTGGAAGCAAGGCATGAAAAGGAATTAAGTCACTGTCATTCTGGGCCAAATTGGGATTTTCTTAGCTGAAAATGAAGGTCATCATTCGTACTCTTTAGTGTACAACCAGTAACTTTTAAATTAACATCTGGGGTAAAACAGCATTTTGCATTGTCAGGGAAGGAGTGTTGTTCTAGAGCTGTCGTGCTCCCTCAGCTTTAACCATTTCGGTCCTGGAGTGTGTGAGCGGCAGGTGGAGACGGGGAAAGCGTTCCCGGGCTGGGTCCCCACACTGTGGGGGTGCGGACGCACAAGTGCTGATGCTCATCACTGCCAGGCCCCCTCCGACCATTAGTGTTATGATTCTGGGACAACTGTTTGTATTTTGGGTACACTTATCATGCTCAGGCTTTGTCAGCTGGGCATTGATTCCAACACAATGGGACAGACATTTGGGAGTTTAGGGCAAATCTTTGACCTTCTTATGCCCACTTTTAGAAAAATGTGAGTTGAAATCGTCCTCTGAGCAATTCTATTCCATTTTGCATTTTTTAGGTGTGGGGAAGTCCTTAATATTCACGCTACCCCACTTTTTGGATTTTTTCACTACCCTTCGGGATCAGACTTCTTCAGCCCATTAGTATGTCCACTGTAATCCACTGGGCTACACAGTTTCATAAGTTTTCTACACAATTTATTTTGAGAATCTTACTTTTTTTTTGGAAGATTTTATTTATTTGAGAGAGAGAGAGAGAAAGCACGAGCAGGGGGAGGGACTGGGAGAAGCAGGCTCCCCTCTGAGCAGGGAGCCCGATGTGGGAGTCCATCCCAGAACCCTGGGATCATGACCTGAGCCGAAAGGAGATGCGTAACTGACTGAGCCACCCAGGTGCCCGAGAATCATCCTTTTTAAAAGAGACCTTAAAGCATATGTTTGTGAGAACTCAGAATAATATGAGTGTAAAGAAAATGCAGTGATTTATGGATCTTCTCCCTGGACCCCTACAAGCCTCTCAAAGTGCCAGTTGGATTTTATTATTGGGGGCAGGTTTTAGGTTGATTTCTATCAGAGACTCTTCTCTGAAAGGAGAAAGAAGTATCTTATAATTCTGAAAAAACCCAACTCATCCTGTAGATTCCCAGGAAGCAGGGACTACTATTGAAGTGTCCTGGTTTTCTGGCTACTTCCAGGCTTTAAGGATAAAGTAGGAAGGTGAACCTGTTGGCTTATGAGAAAAGGGGTGAGAAAAAACATCTTAAGTGTTTGGTGAGAGAAAGCCAGTGAGTTCATGATCAGCTTTACAGCAAAGTCAAACATCTACTTTGTCAGACTCTTTCAGCAGGCGTATGATGCTTGACACAGTAACGTTTCTTCTTACTCTACCTGGAAAACCTGGGAAGGGCATGGTAGAGGTCTTGGATTTCCTTGGAGGACTCTTGCCAAGTCCTCCCACCCAGGGACAGCCAGGAGGAGACGGGCTCGCTCAGCCATCCTCCTTGCCTTGTCTTGGAGAGACGTCTCAGGTGCCGTGTGCAAGGAGAGAGTCCCCTGAGGGCAGGTTCCTGCACCTTGGCTGGCAAAGCAGGGTGGGGGAACCTTGCCCAACTTTCTTCATCCTGTGGGGACAGGCAGCTTTGATGCTGTTTGTGCTTTCTCTAGCACCACCACCTATGATGAGAGGTGTCCCTGGTTAGCCCCCCAGGAGAGATGCCAAGATATCATTTAACATATGAGTTTGTTTTCCCAGGAGGCTGGGCTTAAGACTTTTTCTTTCTTAGTTGGTCACCGTTGGTAATCTATTTTCATATAACAAATTCTTTTGCAGAAATAGGTCTTTCTCTGCTACTGCAGTTGATGCCCATTCCTCTTAGTAAGTAACAGCACCAGTAATGACATCCAGCATTGGTTGAGCAGTGAGTCCTCGTAGCCTCAGGGAGCAGATTGTGTTGTTTCCTCTTTCCTGGGGAGGGCATTGAGACTCAGAGGGCTGACTTAGCCAAGGTCACACAGCCACCAGACAGGAGAGCTAGAGTTCTGGCTCCACAGTGTTTCTCAGCACTGGTTATCTTTGGGTCTGCTGTAAACTCAGGGCCACAGCAACCACTATCAATTAATATGAACACTAAGGCCGCCCTCTTTAGTTCTTTAGGGCGTAGAATTTCTACCTAAGTATTTTGCTTTTCATTGGAGATCTTCTTGGAACCTTCTTCGGATTGTCTTTCTTCACTTGTGGAGGTTGGAATTAGGCAGAAACTTCTAGAACAGTGCCGATGGGTGGTTACTTCAGATGGCTGAGAATGGGGCCTCTGAAGCTTTCCTGAAATATGCCATCTCGGCATTTAGTGTTTAAAATATACTGAATTCCCTGCTGTCTGAAAGTTGCTTTTGGAATCTGCCTACAACTTTCCTGTGAATGTGATTATCAGCAAAAGCATATTTAGGCACACCTGCCATGTGTCTGTAATCTAGAAAATGATCCTCATGATTGAGATGAGGGGACTTGACCATATGGTCTTTCTATCCTTTCTAAGTCTTGACGCTGTATGAGTCTGTGGATTAACCTTATAACCAGATACAAACACAAGCTTGACTTACAACCTTGTTGTTATGCCCACAAAAAGTACTTCTCTTGGAAATAAACTCCTAACATTAAAAATGCAAGAGCCTGCATAGGTGCAAGCCGTCAGTTTGCAAAATGGCAGGTGACCATCAGTCCAGTGATGATCAGAGCTGCGGTGGGTCCTAGTCACCCCATCCTGCTGTAGAGAAGACTGAGGTCTGGAGCTGAAGGGATTTGCTCAGCACCCATAGTCAGTTGATGGCAGAGGTCGGACTGAAATCTAGGTCCTATTGGATTAGAGGAACGTGGGGTCTGGTGCTGGAAGATCCATATTCATTTCTAATTTGTGATCCAACTGTTCTTGAGGTCTTGAGCAAAATACAAAATAGCCTTTGAATCTCTGTGTTTTGGTCTGTGAAGGTGAGACTGTATGCCCACTTCCCAGGCTTGTTGCCTGGATACGCAGCAGTGGACACCTGAAGTGAGGTGGTTACCGCACGTGGAAGCCTCTGTGTGCACCAAGGGCTGTGCCGCTGTTAACTGCCGTGGCTTATTTTCATTAAGCATTATTATTTTTTTTAATCTATCTATTTTCAGGGCGCCTGGGTGGCTCAGTTGGTTAAGGGACTGCTTTTGGCTCAGGTCATGATCCCGGGGTCCTGGGATCGAGTCCCAAATCAGGCTCCCTGCTCCACAGGAAGCCTGCTTCTCCCTCTGCCTCTGCCCCTCCCCCTGCTTGTGCTCTCTCTGTCAAATAAATAAATAAAATCTTTAAAAAAAATCTAATTTTCAGCCTTCTTTTCATATGTATTTTAGTTAGATATCTCAGATCCTCTTTGTAACGAGATGTAGTATACATAAAGTACATTTTAGCTACTATTAAAAGACTGTGACATTTGAGAAGTGTATGAACGTATGTGGAATAATTTCTATCTGGGTTGGGGAAGAAAGAATGTGTTCCACTTAGTAAATAGGAAACCGAAAGCATAGACAAAGGTTATAACGATGCAACATATCTTTAAGATGTGTATGTTACAGGGGAGTATTAATTAAATAGTGAACACCTACAAATATTACTTAACAACTGGTAAGTGTTACCGCTGTTAATAAGGAACTGGACGACTCCCTTCTTAAACCAAGCTGTTAGGGCAGGAGCGTGGGGAACAGCCATGGAGCTCTGGCCCTGTTTCGGGAAGGTGTCCTGGCTCTGTTCTTTGGGCCATGCCTGTGCCCACCTGGTGGAAGCTTCCCGGGGGCGGGCAGCATGGGGAGCTCCCACAATGCTTGTGGTCATGTTTTGCATCTCCTTTGTGGAAGGTGTCCCACAGCTGCACCCAGAGAGCCCTGTGCTAGCTTCTCCTGACTGCGTCTTCTCTTGGTCAGACCCTGGCGCTGCCTGAAGGGCCTGAATCTTCGGCAGCCTCTCCTCCATCTACTTTCTTGGCTCTGCTGCTGGGAGCTGACTTCCTTGCTCACTTCTCTGGCCAGAGCGAGTCACCATTCTGTTCGTTAGCTTCCTCCCCTTGTTGCTCGGTGTATCAGTGTGTGCTGAGGGAGCAGGATGCGTGTTTCTCAACAAAGAGCTCCTTTCTGACTCCTGGAAAAAAACCGACAGAAGTGCAGATCATCATAATTTTTTAAAGCTAGTCTTCTGAGAGATCAGTAGGGAGGGCATTGAATTATTTGCGGAAAAAAACCATTGACTTTTTATTGGAAAGGTGAGGCTTCCGATAAGTGTCCCTATAAAATCAAGCAAGCCACGAATAATTATTGAGCACCTACTAAGTGCAAAACCTACTAAAAGAAATAGAGCAGTATACTAGGTCAGCATCCCAGCATCTCAGGACTCTTTCATGTTAATGCCCTGAATGCTGAGAGCTGCTGTAATTGCTTTGGGTCTGCCTCCAGCCTCTGGAGATTTGTGGCCCAATCACAGATTTCTGTCCTGTTGTGAAACAGGAATAACATTTGGGACACTGGAACAGACTCACGATGAATGGCTGGTTCCTCTGACCAGCAGCTCAATTTCACTTCTGCATTTAATTGCC